GACGGGAGCTCCTGCGTCTTCTGGGACGCAGAGTTCCCAATTGGCGGCCAAACCACCCAAACGGGTGGCAAGGTCGCCGAAGCGCAAAACCTCCCCCCTCCGGCGCTCAGTGCTTCAAAGAAAGTGGAGAGGGAAACGGCCACAATGCCCAAGAAGAAGGTTTTTGGGGAGGAACAGGCCCGGAGGGCCAGAATGCTGGCCGCTCTTTTGGGCTCTCCCCGGGAACAAAAGAAGCCGAGCAAGCCCGGCCCCACGTCCTCGAAAAAATAACTTCGAGGACTCGTGGCAGGTACTGGGGGCGGACATGTCCGCCCTCTTCCGTGGGGGATACGGGCCGGCTTATTTCCACGAAAGAAAGTCGGCCCCGCGTGGATAACCACATTTGAGGAGGCGTCCTCCTTTGGAATTTGACGCCGGGCCACACGGGGGGCTTGGTCAGGGAGCCAAGTCCCCTATTGCACGTGGCCCTGCATACCCGACAAAGTAGGGGTGTGGTCCTCCATCTCGTCGTGGACGAGAGTGAAGCACCGCTCATTTGAGCGCAAGGCGGATGTACCGCCTGGTAGATAGGGGGGGAACCGCGATGAGTTTCGACACGGAGGTACTAGGTCCCCTCCTCAAACCGCGCGAAGTTATGCCACGCAAGGGGTTTTTAGTGAGTATACCTTTTCCGACTTGCGGGCCGGAGAGGGGAGTTCCACATACCCCACCTTTTCCTGGGGATGGGGATGTGTAAAGCATTTTCTCCTTGTAAAAAAAAATAAGAATCTGCAATTAAAAATAGAGTTCCATTTAAAAAAAATCAATTTGACCTTGACCTGATTTTGACAATGCAACCTAAGGTCAAATCGATGGTACTATCTTATATTCCCCTCAAAGTAATAAAACTTTGATTTGAAACATTTGTTTACCGCAGTGTTTTTGAAATATTTTAATAGAAGTTTTAAAATGGGACACCCTGTATATATATAACAATTACCTTAACATCTCTTGTAGGCAGGTAAAAGAAGTAAAATTGAATCAAAAAGTCCTATACCATTTTACGAGAGTCGCAATAGGTATCGAGATTTTAACAAAGATCCGCGAATAAGCGTGCATCGGGCTGTCTTACGCGCGTAGGACAGCCCAGCGCGCTTCGCACGATTACATTTTAATATGTATATGTTATAGTATATGCTGTTATATTTGCTCTTTCCATATGTTGTTACGGGTAACACCGTAAGCGCGCGAAGGGCGCCGGGCTGTCTTACGCGTGTAAGACAGCCCGGCGCGCTTCCCGCGGTTACCATTTATTATGTATATGTTATATTAGTATATGCTGCATCGTATTAATATGTGCTGCCCGCGCCGGGCTGTTTTACGATGCATGCTTATTCGCTGATCTTTGGTAATTAAGATCTCAGTAACTATTGCGAATCTAGCAAAATGGATATAAGACTTATCGACTCAGTTTTACTCCTTTTACCTGTCTACAAGACATGTTACATCAATTCTGAGACACCCTATATATATTTTGTATATATTTATATATATGTATATGTGGGAGAAAGCACTACTATAAACAATCAAAGAGTCAATAACTTTATTTATTTAAAAGTCTTTTTACAATTTCATATTTTTTTAGGAGGTGTGTGTGTGTGTATGTAGGTGTGTGAGTGTAAGTGTGAAAATGTTGGGGCGTATTCTGTTTGACCATGGTACTATTGGACACAGTACGTATTGCACACGAACTATTGGACACGTACGATTGGACACGATACGATTGACCACTGTACGATTGGACATCGCAAGATTAGCATACTGTACGATTGTACCCTGGTCAATTGTACGGTGGTCAATCGTACCGTGGTCAATCATACGGTGGTCAATTGTACGGTGATCAATCGTACAGTATGCTAATCTTGCGGTGTCCAATCGTACTGTGGTCAATCGTATCGTGTCCAATAGTACGTGTGCAATCGTACTGTGTCTAATCGTACCGTGATCAAACGGATGTTACCCAAATGTTGTTAATGTATCGCCTCAAAATCCTCTCTCGAAAGACTATTGATGGAAGAGTCTTTGTAAATCTTTTGATCGTCTGGCAGGCTGTACTCCGGCGTTAACTCGGAGACGGCGGCAAGGGCGAGATTCGTCTCGGTAAACTCACCAGAGACTTACTGGTCGGTGAGAGCGGACGTCGAAGACTTGAGTCGTTTCTCCGCCAGGAAAATCCGCAGAGGCCTCGTGAGTCGCACAGGAGCAGTGTTGCAAATTCTGGCCGGCTAGCACCGAGAGCACCGAGGTGGTGGAAGCCACTGGGAGCACGCATACAAGCGAGAACCGCTGTCCGTGTGTGTAACGTCCATAGACTTATATAATAGACAAAACATTCGTGTAAGAGGAGCTGAAGCTTTGTTAAAAGAGACAGAAATAATCGTGGAATAGTTCTCTTCTTTTCTAGCAGTGAGTTGATTGGTGGCCGCGGCAGGCCGAAGGAGTGGCCGAGAGCAACAAAGATAGACGTCCGAGAGTCAGTTGAGAGAGAGTGATAGTGAGAGGTGATAGCATGTATGTAGCATGTATAGACTTGTTGAGAGACTTGGCAGGCGCTAACAATTAACACTAACAATTCATAGACCTTTTTATAATTTAATTTACTTCATACTTCTATAAAACTTAATTTATCATATTTTTTAACTTAAATTTTCTCTAAATTAAGCTATCTTTAATTAACAACAGTTGTTTATGCTTTAGTGTAACCAATTGTTTTGTTGTTTCTCTTTAAAAACATAAATAAAATAATAAAAAAAATTATATCCATACAAGACTCGAACCTTTATAACCTCTCGAGTACACAAGTCAAAAGTAATGGTTTTTTACGCCTAAGCATAGACTTCTATGTCTATGCGCTTAAGGTGATTGGTCCCCCACCGCTCTTATTGAAAGAGAGAAAGACAACTACGCCAGCACTATCTCTGTCCTTTAATGTTGTGTAAGATAAATCTGACTTCTGAATAAAATACTGTACGGCAGATCTCTTCTTCGAAGTACAATTTTCCGATATCTTGTAATGTGCGACCAAAATAATAACATTCTCAAAGAACCCGGCAATAACGCGCACAAACATACGACGCTCGACAACAACAATGTTCGAACCGTCAGTTATACTCCTCAAGGTTGATCTCACGATTCCGACACAAAAGGTGTTTTTCAACCTTTGACCACCTTAAAGTTTACTTTGCCCGACATCGACATTGAACTACGATCAGACAGGATAAACAATTATTATAACAGTTCACATCAAATATCATGTATCTTTTATTCATTATTTCACCCGTTATAACATTACACTTTCGACGGATACGACTTCGGGCTAATACCCTCAACGGCACGACACCTGGACGGCAACTCTTTCCATTCGACACTACATTCGACAAACGATTCTTTTTCCGTGTATCCGAATCGACAGTCGGCTAACGTCTCTCTTTTACATTTTCCGGCAGCAATAATGCGCCGACACTCACTCTGTTCTCGCCAACTCTCGAATGTTCTCGCTACACGCTGCTTCTGGCAAGTCACATGTTCGCTCGCACGCTAGTTACCTCGCAGGGCTGCCAATCGCCGATCCAACTAGTGGCGCCACCGCATAACCGATATCTTACAGTTGTCTTCAACTTCGTCATATAAATGCATAGACTTATATAATAGACGGAACATTTATAAGACAAAGTTGAAAACAACATTAAAGGACAGAGATAGTGCTGGAGTAGTTGTCTTTCTCTCTTACAATAAGAGCAGTGAAAGACCAATTACCTTAAGCGCATAGACAAAGAAGTCTATGCTTATGCGTACAAGACCATTACTTTTGACTTGCTCGAGAAGTTATAAAGGTTCGAGCTTTGTATGGATATAATTTTTTTATTATTTTTGAGAAACAACAACAGTTGGTTACACTAAACAATTGTTGTTAATTAAAGATAGCTTAATTTAAAGAAAATTTAAGTTAAAAAATATATTAAATTAAATTCTATAGAAGTATGAAGTAAATTAAATTATAAAAAAGTCTACAAATTGTTAGTGTTAATTGTTGGCGCCTGCCAAGTCTCTCAACAAGTCTATATATGCTATATACATGCTATCACCTCTCACTATCACTCTCTCTCAACTGACTCTCGGACGTCTATCTTTGTTGCTCTCGGCCACTCCCTTGGCCTGCCGCGGCCACCAATCGACTCACTGCTAGAAAAGAAGAGAACTATTCCACGATTATTTCTGTCTCTTTTAACACAGCTTCAGCTTCTCTTACACAAATGTTCCGTCTATTATATAAGTCTATGGTAACGTCACGCTCGGCACGTCGGCTCGTGGAAGAGTGCAGACGTATTATGTTCTGTCTTCTTTTCACTTCAAGCCGGCTTGATAAGATAAAAGACGAGGTATGTTTACGTTACGTTGCGCGCTTGTTGCGTATAACAACGTGAAACGCTTTTCCGAGATTAATAATCTTTGAACCAGTGCATCATATTATTGATAATAATAAAACATCTTAATATGCATTATATATTTGTATTAATTATTAATATGAGTGAACGTACGGTGAAAACTTTGTAGAAACGCATTTAATATGTACGAAATATATTATTATTATATTATTATTAGTGTTTTTATATTTAGTATAAAATTTAATAATAATAATATAATAATAATAAGATAGGAGCGAGGAGGCTATTAAAGTCCCTTTATGTCATCTAGATCTATAAGATCTTTTGTGATTCTCGCTAGATGCTTATCGGCCTATCTGCTTCAGCCCGGCATTTTCTGCCAGGCTTCGCAGATAGCTGATCTTGATATTTTTCAGGTCCTCGGGCTTCACAAACATGCAGCCCAGGATCTGAGTCTTTTAAGAGCTAAGATGGACAGCGATACAATATATGCTCGCTGTCCTTCTTTTCCTCACCGCATAATCTGCAGTTTGCTTCATCGGCCAATCCCATGTTGTACAAATGTGCCTTGAAAGCTCAGTGTCCAGTGAGAAGACCGATACTTAATCTTAGTCTATCTTTATCCACAGCCAGCAGTTCTTTAGCCCTGCTTGACGATGGCTGACTCATCAAGAGTTTGGCCTGGCGACAGCTTTTCAGTTTCTTCCAAGAGTCCTGGTGCTCTCGCTTCAGCCGATCCTTGATGTAATTTTTCTCTACGGCAAAGGGAACGCCGACTTTTTGGCCAGCTGGTTCCTCTAAGGTGCCCAGCTTTGCCAAGCCATTCGCTATCTCATTATCGCGGATACCTTGATGGCCGGGTACCTAGATTAGTGTGATCTTGTTATGATCTCCCAATCTGTTCAGAGCTTGCATGCAGTCCCAAACCACTGATGATTCAGTGGTGGTCTTAGCAAGAGCTCCTATAGCGGCTTTACTATCTGTGTAACTATGGATCCTCCTGCTCATGGTCTCCTTTGAGAGAGTCTTACACATTCCAGGATAGCCAAGACCTTCGCTTGGAAGACCGTGGCTAACCTACCCAGAGAGAAAAACTCTCTGTAATTGTTTCCTGAACAACATATACCTGCTCCAAAGCGGTCGTTTGCTCCAGATCTATCGGTGAATCACGCATCTATGTTCAGTTGGATCTGTAGGTTTTTATTACACCATTCAGCCCTAGTGGACAGGTTTACAGAAAACGCCTTGTTCACTTGGTATATTCTGGGTATTCTATCTTGCTTCAGTGTAAAGGGAAATTTGTGGAGACACCCGAGCTTGGTATGACCTGTCCCGAATTGTCTCCACTCCCCCTGACACCTTAGTCTATATGCTGTGAGTCCGGCGGTGCTGATTATTTGTTGATTTAGAGGAAGAATACGAAGTGCTACTTCCAGCGCCTCTGTTGGTGTTATTCTCATAGCCCCTGCCGCTGCTCTTAGGTAGTTACCCTGTAGGCTTCTTAGCAGGTTCCTTGCCTCCGTCATTTCTACTCTAGGCCACCAGATCACAGCAGCATATGTTAATCTTGGTAACAATACCGATTTGTATATCCATAGGGCAGGATTCAGTTTAATGCCCCAGGACTTTCCCATTACTCTTTTACACGTTCAAAAAGAAGCGTAAAACTTGGATCTCTTTATTTCGAGATGTGTCTTCCAGCTCAGTTTGGTATCTAGGTAGGCTCCCAAGTATTTGACTGACTGAACGTATTCTATTTTCTCATGCCAGAATCTTAACGGCTCAATGGCCTCGGGTTTATATTTCTTGGTGAAACTCATGGCCTTGGTCTTTGATGGATTAGCCCTAAGTCCTTTTGATTGACACTAGTTTTGCGTAAGCGTAAGTGCTTTTTCCATTATATCTTTGAGTGTCGCAAGAAAGTTGCCCCCCACCACTATGGCCACATCATCAGCGTAATCATAGACGGGGAAACCCGCTTTTCGCAACTTCTCAAGAAATTCATCTACCATTAGGCACCACAGTAAGGGAGATAGTACTCCCCTCTGCAGACAACCTTTGGCGGGGAAGCCATGTACCACCGATTCCACATGACTAGCAGTCAGGGTTCTTCCTGTAAGCATGCTTTGTGTCCAGTCTGCTAACGCAGCTGGAATGCCATACCTGGTCATCGCTTTCCTAATCACATTATATGAGGTGCTATCAAAAGCTCCCTCGATGCCCAAGACATATTCCTTTACCTCCAACTGTGCCTCAACTCTGCCCACGAGATGGTGCAGGTCAGTATCAGTTGATCTGCTCTCTCTGTAGGCATATTGAGAGGAGGCTAGTGGATAGGTACAGCAAAGGGCCGTTTTTCAGGAACCCATCAATCAACCACTCTAACGTTTTAAGAACAAAGGAGATGAGACTGATAGGCCTAAAGTCTTTGGTTAATATGTAGCCATTTCTGCTAGACTTGGGTATGAAAACGACTCTCATTCCACTTCAAGTCTGGGGGACGTGTCTTAGGGCAATACTTGCCCTAAAGATTTTTGTGAGTGGACCAATTAAAATCCCTAGACCCTCCTGAAGGAGAATCGGGTAGATTCCATCCGGTTCCGGTGATTTATAGGGGTTGAAGGTCTTAACAGCCTGTTACGTCCTGGCCCATGGATACGGTCGGGCTGTGGTGTGACGCAACAGTAAACGCGTCGTTTTCCATATCTCTCTTTACAGTGGACACGGAAGTCCCGCTGTGAGAGAGTCGAGCGAGTTTGCTTATGTTCGTCGACAGGTCAACGGCATACGCCGATCTTACTCTGTTTAACGAACACTCGCTCGTTGGTCCCTTTTTAGGTCTGAGACGCAAATCTCATTTACCAAGGACGGGACCTAGCGATTTTAACGAGGAAGTGAGAGTGGGTTATACGGAAAGAAAGATAACAGAAAATAATTCTTTAGATTGATTCCACACATGACAAAGTAGTTATATTTATTAAAAATCAAAATCATTGAATTAATAACAGACATGCAGAAATTAATACAATAAAGGAGCATATAATCGTTTCGTACAATGTAATCTACACGCTAGAACGCGAGTGTAAGAGAGAACGAGAGTGCGAATTTTTTAGTGTAGCCAGTCTCTTAACCCATGTTTATACAACTAAAATCATCTCAGAAATTTGTATCTGGATAAATTCGGTTTTGTTTCATTTCTTAGGTTTCAATGGAAATAACCGTAGNAATAAATTTGGATGTGTCATGATTCTAAGATTGATATTCGGAGATAAGCGAGTTTTGTTTGTTTCCGTGATTTAGAAAAGAAAAAGAAATAATTCGGACGCTATTCACGACTGGTGTCGCGAACTGCCCTCCCGGCGAGGGTGAGGAATTGACTTCTCGACCGGTTGCTATTCACGACTTAGAGTCGCGAACTGCCCTCCCGGCGAGGGTGAGGAATTGACTTCTCGACCGGTTGCTATTCACGACTTAGAGTCGCGAACTGCCCTCCCGGCGAGGGTAAGGAATTGACTTCTCGACCGGTTGCTATTCACGACTTAGAGTCGCGAACTGCCCTCCCGGCGAGGGTGGTTAAGTGAGGGATTGATTGCGGAGAACGAAAACAACACACTCTCGCGATGCTTCTAAGCAGTTATGCGTCTCTGAGGTTCCGAGTATTAACCTCGAGTTGAATTTTTACTAGTGGAACTCCCGATTAAAAATTGTNGGTGGACTTACTACTTGTGTGACTGCTGGCTGCGATTGATTCTCGGTTGAGGCCGGTGCGGCACCGTGATAGCTCGGAGTTGCAGGTCGCTGGTGTTAATGCTTCTGAGATCTCACTCTCCGCGCTCACTGGCACTCACTGGTTCACTCACTGATCTGCGGCTCTTTTCGGATACGCGGCGCGGTTCTTTTTTTGAGTTTTCGATTCCGAGAGCCCTGGCTTATATACTGTTTTAGTAAGCGAGGACTCTTCCAATCGGGAACTCAGTTGAGCTTTGCTGGTTNCTATTTGTTAATTAGTCGGTCGGGCGACTTCCGAGATCGCCAATCGGCGACGATCTCTCGCTTCGGTCGCCTCGTCCGATTTTCCGAAGAAGGAAAAAGGGAGAGTGTTGTCTTTTCGACAACGCATAGACCCTTCGATATTTATCGAGTGATAAACCTTTTTTATGTAATCACTCGTGGCGACAGATCTTTACTTGCGCCGGCTGTCCTAAATTTTATAGGATGTATTTCTTTGACCCGGAGATAACCGGGTTTATTTGGAAAGTTGCTCGGGATGTTTAGACAATAATAAAAGTTTCTGTTCGCTATTGTCTATGGAGGAATTTTTAAGATCGTGGCTAGGCTCGGTTTATTGTTTTCGGGCGTCGACACGATTTCTATTTGTGCGTCTATCGCGTCGAAGTCCGAGTCCGTTCGTGTTATTTATTGAGAAAAAAAAGGAATTTATTGTATGTCGGCGCGTCACGTTGCAAGAAAAAGGGGCTCGTGGAGTCCTCAGGACGTAACAAGCCCATTCAACACCTCTCGGATAGACAACCTTTGCTGCTAAATGCCACTTCCTGGGCTTATATTCCCTGGCTTCGACCGACTAGGTTGTTTTTTATTGTCAAATTCTGGAAAGTGGACATCCATCAAATGTTTTATGCCCGTATTCATAGTCGTTCCTTGAGGAATAAGGACTCTTTGTTCCTTATTCCGTGTTTCATAGACATTCCTCGACAGAATAAGGTGCGTTATTGGCTTCCTTATCTCAAGGAAAGTCTTGAGCTTCCTTGAGAGAGAGATTGTAGTAGTATTGTGCTGTTTGATACAAGTAGTGCTACAAGCGGCCTATATGGAAACTGTGGAACGTGCGACTCTCACCTCATGGAAGTTTTCGGTTGAAATGTGAATGAAACCCTGCATAAGTTTGTAATGATTGTGAATATTTTATCTACAATGGACAACAAATTTTTAAATATTTCTGACGATGACTTTGAAGATGAGTATCTAGTAAATAGACGTGCATAGAGACTTGTTAAAAGGTACATTCCCGATTATGAAAATCCTATTGAATTTTTCGAGGATGGTGCTTTTCAAAAAAGATACAGATTTAACAAAGGAGCTGTAGTCAATATCTTATTATCTTTGGTGAATCGTCACTTAAGAAAATTTAATAATCGTGGACTACCTGTTTCTCCGCTGATACAACTTTTAATAACACTGCGTTTTTATGCAACAAGCAGCTTTCAGGTTTGTATAATTTGTTCTAATACTATGACAAAGAAACATAAATGATTCATTTTTATATCATTTGTGTACTGTATTAATTATAGATTGTTAATGGAGACTTGCGAGGATACAGTCAAGCATCAGTATCGCGAATTGTAACTCGAGTTTCCAAAATTTTGGCATCACACTTGGGTACATATATCAATTTTGGTACTGAGCGTATACGCATGAGCAATAAAAACAAATTTTATACAGTACTAACTTTCCATCTGTAATTGGATGTATTGATTGTACTCACATACGGATTGCAAATCCTGGAGGAAATAATGGAGAAGTATTTCGTAATCAAAAGGGATGGTTTTCTTTGAATGTACAGGTATATTTTTAGCTGCTCCATTATACATGATAATTTTAATGTGTTGTATTATTTAATGATAAAGAAATAATTTATTTGTATAGATAGTGGCTAGACCTGAAAAGGAAATTCTCGATATAGTTGTCAGGCACCCAGGTTCAACTCATGACAATGTTATATTTGACCGAAGTGATCTTCGCTGTCGGTTAGAACGAGAACAGCTAGATGGAATTCTACTTGGCAATGGTGGATATGTGTGTCGTCGCTATCTCTTAACGCCTCTTTTAACACCCGAAACAGTATCAGAAATTCGATATAATACTGCACTCAGAAAAACACGAGTTATTGTTGAACAATTATTTGGAATTTGGAAACGTCGTTTTCCATGTTTGCATTATGGTTTACGCACGAAGTTAACCACTACAGTAGCAATTATATGTGCCATTGCTGTTTTGCACAATCTGTGTATTCGACATAATCTGCCCAATGTGTTTGAAGAAGAGTTGCACGTAAATATATTTGAAAACGTAAATATATTTGAAAATGGTGGGCATCTTGAACAAAATGGCATTGAATTTGCATTTAGAAATGCTTTAATTTTGACACATTTTTCCTAAATAAAAAACAAGTATAATTACAAAGTGTTTTGTAACTAAACCGATAAAAAATTAGATATTTTATTCCAATTGTAGATATTTTATTTCTGACTATACGTGGTATTTTGTATTCCGATAATAACAAATATCAAATTGTACACATATATAATAAAATATAATCTTTATTACAAAAATATTTGTTTTAATTTATAAAACAATAAACAAAACTTATTACTACATGCAACATAATACATATAATTTTACATTTGCTTGCATATAGAGACTATATTAAATATTTTAAAACGTATTTTTTTAACACAAACATATACATGTTTTATCACTTTTATATTGCTCTTACTTATAAAAACTACATATTTCAAATCGTATGTTTTTACTATTATTTTGTTGTTTATTCTATGTGCTTGAGAGCTTCTTCTTCTTTTAAAAGTTTTACTAAGACTATTTTCTCCTCTACTTCAGCAATTTTAATTTTTTTTGTGTGAAGTTCCCGCTGCTGCTCGATTCCTTCACGAAGTTTTATTAACCTCAGTTCTCTTTTGTCCTTGATTTTCTGAAAATCAAATTTGTACAATTTTGTGTGATTTTGCTATTGTTAGTCTTGTTGCAGTTTGAATGACGTTGCTGATAAGACAAATATTAGATCATGATTCTAGATGCACCTAATGTTGCTTAAATACATATGTACATTCTTTTGTAAAAGTAATCGTAATTGAACTGTGTAACCTATAAAATTAACGCGCAACGTGATTAATAACGATAGGTCTGCTGTATCACCAACGCAATTAGCGTAATATATCTGTACTTAATATTCCTTAATGTTATTAAATAATACGAAGCTAATTCATAAACTTTCTCATTACCTCTAATTTTTTATTTGTTGACGAAGTATCATCTGATGTATATGGTCGCATGCGATTAAGGTGAGGATCAGAATTATCCGGTATTTCTATTGTATCTACACAATCATCTTCGTCATTTTTGTCATATATCATTTCCTTGTCTGTGGATATGGATTCTACTTCTACATTATCTGAAAAGTGAAAAAAACAAGTTATAGGGACTTCATAGAATAATAATATTCTATGTATAAGTGTGTATATTGCTTCCTGTTTTTCTCAAACAACGCAGTACTATCGTATGCGCAAGGAATTTCAACGTCCACGTCTAAAGTTGTAGCATCTATAAATGCCATTACTGGACCATTTGGTTCTACTGGCGCAGGACCTCCACTGTCATCAGCCGTTTGTGTCGGTAAGCTAAATTTAATTTTTGTTTTCTAAAATGAGAAATGCATATATTGGTTT